TGGAAACCACAAAGCTACCCTACTCTTTTGTAGATTTCATCGAAAGTACATGAGTGTCTGTTGAATGAGGGGAAAGGGGGATCCCAAGACTACCTGCTTTTGTTTGCACCCAGCTGGGGTAGAATCCACTCTGTGCTCTGGTTGCCAACTTTTCTGGGGCATTGGCCGTGCGGACTCCTGGGATCCTTATTATAACAGCTTCACTTCCAGACCACTGAGCAGGAAGATCTCTGTGAGTCTGAGGCCAGACTGGTAAACACAGCAAGTTCCAGGCCAGCTGGGGCTACACAGTGGGATACTGTCGAAAAAAATCTTGAAATGGTTAAAAATAATAAGATTAAGGCAAAAATTAATTAAATAGAAACTAAAATAACAGCACATACAGCCGAAGAGTTGGTTCTTCAAGATTAACAATACTCACAACATCTTAGACAAACTAATAAAAGAGAGGGAAAACTCAAGTAAATAAAATCAGAGATGAGAGGGGAATTGTTAAAATAGAATTCAATGAAGTCCAGATTATGGGAAACTTTGAAGAGTTTTATCCCAAAAAGTTGAAAAACCTCAAAACAGTAAATAAATTTTTAAACTCCTACGTCCTGTTGAAATTAAAACCAGGTGATATAACCAAATTAAAAAGACACACAAAAAGCAACAAAATTGACACAGTAATTAAAAGTCCATCCACAAAGCAAATCCCAGAACTTGAAAGACTGACTGTTGAATTCTATCAAACATTAAAGGAAGGTCTACTACCAACACTCCTTAAGCTATTCTACAAAATAGAAATGGAAGGAACACAGCAAAACTAACTCTGTGAAGCCAGTTATTATACTGACATCAAATCTGGATAAAGACATAGCAGAAAAGAAAGCTACAAGCCAATGTCCCAGATGAGCATAGAAGCAAATTTTCTCAACCAATGGGATTGAAGGGTTCATGAGCTCCCAACCTTAACTAAGGAACTGTGGACAGTTGATGGCTTCTGGGGGAGAGGTGATGAGTTTTTTAACAGTGTGATTTCTGGTAGGACAACCACACTCTGATGAATGCCTCCACAATGAGAGTATATGTCCAAGACAGATTAGAGTTAGTGAGCTACTAAATTTTTAAAAGGGGACGCAAAGATGGATTATATTAAAATATTAATTTAGAAATGAAAAGTAAAGAGTGCTATTTTCAGAAAAAAGATAATTTCACATGTGTATGTGTAGGCTTATATCTCTATAGTAATGTATTAGTCTACTAAAACTGTTCTAGTAAAATACTGTACACTGAATGGCTTAAAGTTACAAAGATGTCCTGAAATAAGTTGGAATAGGCAAAACATAAATCAAAACAATAAAAGTTACTTATGGCAAACCTTTAGCCAACATTATATTAAATGGGGCAAAGAGAGAGCATTTCCTCTAAAATTTGGGAGAATACAGGTTGCCTATTCTCTCCACTCTTAGTTCAATATATTTCTTGACGTCTTACCTAGAGTAATAAGGCAAGAGAAAGATATAAAGGGGTTAAAAAAGAAAGGAAAAAGTCAGATTATCCCAAGCCACAGACAACATAATCGTATAGTTAAGAGTCTCAGATTTATACTAAAATGATTGCAACTGGAGATCATATGTTAAGTGAAACAAGACACACTCGAAGAGATTAATGCTATAGGTTCTCTTTCATATGTGGGTTGTCGCTTTTGATGTTCGTGTGTGTGTGTATGTGTGTGTATCATGAAACTGAAAATGGGGCCAAGAAAGGAGAAAAGGGTATTAAGGAAGAGGTGGGCCATGATAGAACACTTGTGGCGTGAAAAGAAATATGAGATTGCTAGGGGTAGAAAGGTCCAAGATGGAGGGGGAGTGAGAAGGAGGGAGAGGAGTGTCTATTAAAACCCCATGTTTGAAATTGCTGTAAGGAGACTGTATAGCTTTATGGTAATTAAAACATTTAAAAAGAAAGTCTTACAAGGTCTTTTTAACACTTTGGTTTGGGATTTATGTCCTTCAGATTATGAGAAAATGAATTTTCATAGATTTAAACTACCCAGTGTGCAGTATATATTTTTAAAGCTTTAGACAACTAAAGGCACCCAAATAGATGCACATGTGTGTACACCTACACACATACACAAATGGCCCTTTTCTTTTTTTTAGTATAGTTTTTTATTGCTCCTTTGGGGCTTTCACATCATGTACCTCATTTTCATTCATTTCCCAGTTCCTCCATATCTGTTTTTCACCCTTGTAGAATTCCTCCGCAAAGGGAAAATTAAAAATAAATAATAAATAATCCAAATAAGAATATTAATTAAAAACAAACAAATATAAACAAACAGAAAAGCTAGCAACAAAACTCACTTTGCTCTTTTATCTTTCCCGCCTCTCCATCGCCTCTTCATTTGTCTCAGTGCCATTGAGAGCTGTGTCTCATGCAGTATTCCCTTTTGTCCAAACAGCTTTACTTGCAATTTTTCATTACGTAATGTGTTGTTGGTCTGGTTCAAGATCTCTGGCCTCTGGTACACCATCAATACTGGACCCTCACCAAAATTCCTCCCAGATAGTCTGCTGTTACCTCACATCATGGAGATCCTGCAGATGTGGTTTCGTGGGACCAGTCCTTTCGTGTATACCAGCAGGTCATATATGGGGTATACGTTCAGGAATGTCCATTCAAAGCCCTGGAGGTGGGCCTGGGTGGTAGCAGAGCAAGCTCTCCCATGCCTGTGGTGAGGGGTAGGGACAGCTCTTGGGTAATGGGGCCTGGCTCTCACTGGGTCAGTGAGGGTAGAGCCAACTCCTCATGGTCCTTGTACTTCAACACATGGTTCAACACAAGGTTCGTATGTGTCCCTGTCTTAACATGGGAAATGGACATCAATGCAGACCCCAGCTATCGTAAGACCAAGGACCTCGACAAGGCTATCAGCAGCAACTTGGGCCCAGATGTCACCATGGACCCTGGGTGGCAGCACAGGCCTCTCAGATTGGCATGAGCCCAGCAGTAGCATGATCACCAGACTTCAATATAGCCCTAGGTGGCCAGACCCCAGATAGGGGCATGATCTTCAGTGGTAACAGGAGCCATGAACATTAACACAGACTATGGGACCTCAGACCCAGACATGGCCCCTGAGCCACAACGAGGGCCCAGATGACACCAAGACCCTGATCAGGCATGATCCTGGCAGTGGCATGTCCCTCAGACTCCAACATGACCTAGAACCCAGGCATCCATGTGGCCTTTGGTAGCAACACGGGAGCAACATGGGCCATGAACATCAACACAAACCCCACCACGGACCCAGACATGGTTCTCGGCAGCAGCCTGGGTGCTGACATCACCATGGCCTTGGGTGACAACATGATGCTTTGATACCAACAGACTTTAGGCATTCGCATGGCCATTGGTGGTAGCAGGAGCCACAGGCATCAACACACACCCTTGCTGTGGTGTAGCCATGGACTCAGCATGGCCCTTACTGAATGTCTCTATGGTCCTGGGAGGCAGTGCAAGTCACCTAGATCAGAATGGCCTCGTAGCAGCATGACACTCAGATACCAGCATGACCTCAGATGTCAGCCCAGATCCTGAGCATCCTCATGCATGACCTTTGGGGCAACAGGTGCCACAGACATCAATACAAATCTCAGCTGCTACAGGGCCACAGACCCAGACATGGCCCTTGGCAGCAGCCCAAGTCCGGATGTCACTGTGACCACAAGTGACAAGCAAGCTTCCCACATCAGCCCATTCCTCACCATCTTTCTCTCTTCAGATCTGCCTCTCTCTACAGTTCATGAACCATTCTGTCTCTCTCTCTCTCTCCCATACTCCACCATATATTTATGTTCAACTGCAGTTTCTCTTCCTGGCCCAGGGCAGGCAGCCCCAGGCAGGCATGTAGGTGTCCTTCACCTGCCTGGTACTCATGGAGCTGAGCAGGCCTGAAGTTTTTCTTCCTACATGCCACCTAGGGCCACCTGTCCTGTAAGGGAAAGAGAAACCAAGGGCCTGCTCGGTTCTATTAGGACCAGGCAGACAAAGGACATTATTTTTTCTTAAAATATTAATCTTTATTTTCCTTTTCTAAATTATCTCAGCGTTTGTGGCTACTTTTGTACTTTAGGTGGTTGAATATGTTTTTATAGGTTTTCTGGATATGACTGCTTTTAATAAAAATACAAAGCTAATTATTTCCTTACTCTTACCTCTTTTTATACCAAGGATTTTTGAAGTATGGCAGTTACATAAATGGGAATCATTTTTCTTCACAGGCTTTTATGTGTCCTTTAATATTATATCCTACCAATTATGTTGTCTTTAATTTTGAATAAATTTGTATCACTAATAAAAGAATATTGTTATCTGCATGAACTACTTGATTAGTACTTTAGGCACGTAGAACATCAGTACTCAGTTTTAACAGGGTTAGAGAGTATGTTCAACAGAGGAAGCTCTATCGTCTACAGAAGCAGAACTGTACAGCCTAAGATTGAGACTAGGACTTCAGTCTCTACAACAGTTCTTCCTTGGAGGTCCTCATTCTTGTAATCTGGTCTGCCTCCAGTGAACTTTAAAGGGATTTAACATAACTAGACACATCAATAGTATCTTCTGAACATGGCACAATTATCACAATCTTTTAGCATCTAGGATTGCCTCCACCGCGCCTACACAAGACCAGACCTCTCATTGGTCAGTCACAGAATCGGGGCCTGTCCCTCTCTGCTAAACTATCGGCTACTGACAGATTCTAGAGGAAAAGTAATCATTGTCTTTAGCTATGTACCCACAGGTGAGCCCAGTGAATGGTTCCAAACATATGCTCAAATGGCCCTGTTTATACTCAGAGGGGCCCTGTGCCAAACAAAAACCATGAGTGTGAGACCAGGACTTACAGGAAAGATGGAGGGGTAAGAAGGAGAAAGGACAGTATGCAGGTGAGAGTAAAAGAGACTATATTACAGAAACATGAAATGCTCAACAAATTTAATAACATTTATAATGAAAGAAAAAAATGAAAAGCAAGGATCCTGAAATACATGGCAAATACACAAACAACAGGCCATTTAGATACATGAGAGTTAGCTTTACAAGCTCTGCCTTAGCTCCCAGGTGTCACCAGATGTCCCAATTCATTTACATGGAAATTACCATGCTAGAACAAAATCACAACAGAGATTTGAAGAGAGAAGATAGTGACACCCAGGAACTTCTTCTTGGTGTGTTGCTCTTAGAATCCTGGACCTGTCTGCATGAAGGTATGCTCGGGGTTCATGTCCTTTACCTGTAGAAAACAAAGTGTGCGATTGGGGGACCAGCAGACACAAGAATACCAGCATCATTTCCAGGCCACCCGGCCTTTTCTCACTTGGCCTGAATTCTCAAACCTCACCTGGAGCAAAGCAGGGCTTTGACTAGCTTTGCTGTGATTCCACTGCTCGTCATCAAGGCCCCTGTGATAGAGTATGACCAGACAGTATGCATCAAGACACAAAAATAGATACACTGACAACACATAGGCATTTCCTGATCTATGTGATGGAAACATGCTTCTGGATATATTTCAAGATATTCAGCAAGATGACACTTGTGCCATAATATAAGCAAATCCCCGAAAATCCAAATGTGTCTCATTCATGAATGGGGTCCATGGGTTTCAGGGAATTATCAAATGGCTATTTAAAATGGCTAGTTAGCCTACTGTTTAACAGAGAAGAAACTGATCTGTAAGATAGTGAATGAAATAAAGCGAAGCCTGTATGTTTCCATAACTCATTATCCGACCCCTACCTCACACTACCACATTGTATACACCAACACTCACGTCTGAGACCACTCAGCATTCATCCCAGCCTGTCTAGAGAATGTCTGCACCATCTTCTGTTGATCCTGAAAGAGGGCGGGCAAATAGCTGGAAGAAGATGTGGCCACAGGAATGGAGGAACTGGGAAGCCCTTGGACATCCCTCACAAACAGCTTGTCATTGATGATACAAAGGCCGGAGGAAAAAAAATCCCTGAGATGGATGGGAAAACAGACCAAAGTAAGCTTCTCAACAATTGCCGTGTTCTCACTGAGCCGCAATCGGGTCGTTCCCATATTCCTTCTTTGCCTGGCTTTTGTTCCCTGGTTATCTACAATACTCCCAGAGAGGGAGCACACTGTTGCAGACTGTCTATATCAACAGAATGGCAAATTCCACTTTCATTCCACAATGGTTTTATCAGAGAAAAAGAGTGGGCAGTATAATCAACATTTCTAGAAGATAGAGTTACAAATAGGAAATGTGACCTGACCAAATTCACAGAATAAGCGAGTGGTAGAGCAAGAATGAGCCTGGTAGTCTGACCTCAAAGTCTACACTTCCAGCCACCACACTAGACTACTCCTTGAATCTCCCCATTGCTCTTCCACATATTGGTCATACCCCGAGAACTCCATCACCACATTGTTGCACAGCCCAAGGCTCGGGTGAGACTGCCCATCCACAACACAGCACTTACTCAGAACTGTTGCCGTAGGTAGTAATGAAGGTCCTAGTGAAGGCATGAACACAACCTTGAGAGCTTCCCTCCGCTTCAAGGACAAGAAAGAATAATGCGCCTTTAGAGTTGTCAGTGCTTTGTACCCTCACAGGGCATTCCCCAGTCAGGGTCTTATACAAAAAGGAGCCAAGAACCACTCAATATTTGACTTGGAGTCAGGAATGACTTGCAAGAATGGAGAGGGCTGGCAGCAATGGAAATGATCCACTCCCGTTGATGGGACCCCTACCCCATGCTGGACCCTGTGAACATCACTTTCGATGTTCACTTGATCTCTGCTTCACTTCTCCCTTATAGGGGTGGGGGATGGGGACAGTTTAATAAGCGCCATTTGCAAATGTGGAAATGCAGAGGTTAAGCAACTGGCCCAAAGTCAGAGTAAGGATCTGGAATGAGAGTCACCAATCCCACAGCTCCCGTGCCCTCTCTCACTCAGGAGCTGTGGGGTAGACAGGCACAGCCCTCGGTCAGGGTCAGACCAGGATGGTCTGTGGGCAGGATGCTGTGAGCAGGAGAGCACAAGGGAGGAAAGGCACACAATGAGGGGACCTGGGGGAGTTCTCAGGGGTCCACATCCAGGGCAGGGAGTGGGATAGGGTCTGGAGAGGGGATTTTGCAAACACTCACCTTCCTTGAAAAATCCACTAACAGAGAAGCAGAGCATTGTCTCCTGGAAGGGAAATGCATGAGCTCAGCGTCCTGCATAACTTTCTACCCAACCTCAGCTTTCTGAGTATGTGCTGTGGCCCACAGAAGGAGCGGGTGCTTACTGTCTGGAAACATATGTCCACCACAAAGGAGGTGAGGTCATGCTGAGTTTTGGGCAATGTACGAAGAAAACAAATAATATCACATTTTTTATGCTTCAGCAGCTGCCACTGCTGCATATCTGTGAAAAGAAGAGAAAAAATGTCCTTGGAGTCGCACATGCTTTCTGGACACTCGCACACCGTTTCCCAGTCAGAGTCACGGGCTAAGAGGTCTAGGAACAAGCCACTGTTGGTTTGGAATCAAGAGAGAGTGTCAGAAATGAGGAGGGCAACAACAGGAACCTTAGCCTCTGGCATCTGTGATTGTGCGCTCTATCCCCTTTACGCTGTCCAGTCTTACCCCGCCGCACACTTACAAGAATCTTTGAGAACCTTCATATTTCTGCTGTACTTGAAGTACCCACACAAGCTGCTCCTAGGAGAAAAGGAGGAAACAGAGCTGGTGGTCCAGCGAGTATAAGGGTTCCAAGGGACTGCCTGTATCTGCTGGAGGGTGGGGTGCAGTGCTCTAGGTCATAGCTTGAGCTGATTGTGCTACTTACGAGGATGAGTCCATGAAACTGAAGAGGACGGCCAAAGAGAAGCAAGCCTCAGCATGGTAGGCATTAAGGAGTCCCTGCCGATCTCCATTGTCATAGATGAAGTAATACCTGTTGGGGGCGGGGCCATAGGATAGGCTAATCACGTCGGTTTGGGCCTCAAATGAGAGTTCAAAGTTTCATCAAGTAGAGCTATAATCTTGTAGCCTCTCCTCCCACATGGCTCCCTTTTGTCAGGTTCCCAAAGGTACTTACTGCTGCAGGAACTGTAGGACCAGAGTCTTTACAGCCTCAGACCCAAAGGAACTCCCCTGAAATAAAAGCAAACAGGATGTAGGTTCTGACCCATTTTGTACACAAATTAAAACCTCTCTCCTCACCTTGCAAATTGGTAAACTCTTGTGGTCTTCGAGGCCACAGAGAGTTGGTTTAGGTGATTCCTGTCCTTCCTGTGAGAGGCAAGAAAAATCAATGCAGAGCTGGCAGATGATGCTGGATGATGAGGGAAAGGGATGGGTTTACAGAGTGGGGGAGATCAGAAATCAGGTGTGAAAAGGACCCTGGAAATGTCACGGATAGACATCCAGTTGGGATCATGGCTTGACACTGGCAAGTTCTCCTGTGAATCTGAATCACTTCTCCATATTTCTTTGAACGTACATGTTCAAAAAGTTTAACTTAAGCAAGACCTATTAGCTTTCATAGCATTTGGATGTACTGCCAGACCCAGTTAGAGAAATCGATAATCAAGGAATACACTTACCAGGCTTAATAACTTGGGGAACAATTCCAGAATTGAACTATCAAAAAAAATGCAACCTGGTTAAGAACTACGTAGTGTATATGTATATACAATCACTGCATGGCATCTCATTAATATATTAGCCAGCATGCCTGATTAATACATTAACTTATAATGTATTCATCCATCTGCTGACATATAAATATAGGAACACAGATATAACCTTATAAAAATAATTGAAAGTGAAGAGACAGTCCTTGTGGCAATGACCTAGAAGAAAGAGCATTGTCTTTCCCTGCTACTCTCCTCTCTCTTCTTCTTATTGGGTAGCTCCTACATTCACTGCTCTAATCCCTTTCTTCAGGCTCACAAGAAGCCACGTTGGAGAAGCAGAGCTCCAAGGAGTCATTTCTCCTCCTCACAGTCTCCATGGAAAGCTCTGCAGGGATCGAGGTATGGGATGGGATCCCAGGACTCTGTCATCTTGTTCATGCCCACCATTCTAGAGATTCTTGGGCAGGGAGGTAAGAAAGGCATGGCTCAGGACTCAGTAAGAGGAAGGCATGGGGATGGTAACGGAAAGGGAGTGAAAATGGATGAGGTAGATGTGAAGGAGACACAGAGAGTGGAGGCAACGGAGAAAAAGGAAGCCACACAAATGGAATGGTGAATGCTAAAGGTCAGGGATTGCTGGTAATAGAGAAGAAAAGGGCTCCTCTGCACAAGTCCTTTACCTTATCTTCTCCAGACTGTGCCCGGGACCCAGAGCAAGAATGAAAGAGAAGACTTCACAGTATTAGGTACTGTTGAATGCAGGCTCATATTTTTTTCCTATGCAGGGCTCATTCTGGGAACAATGAGCCTCTTTGAGGGAAGGGGACATTCCCCAGTAGTAGCTGGCACTTATAGTCACTATGTTCTCTCCTGGAGGTCCCTCTCTACTTGTGTGTGTCTGAGTATAGTTCTACTCCAAGGAATCAACTTGCTTATCTCAGGCTATGCAGGGATCCTCTTTAACATTAGGTAGGATGATGAGCAAGGTAGATAGGTGGGTAGATAAGGAAGACAGAAGAGATGGAAGCCTCTTTGGTTCTCCACACGTTCCTCTTGCCCCAGGGAGCCCACTTCCAGATCTTTATTTCAGGGAACCCATGTTTCTTTCCAAGGAGGACTAAGCAACCCCAACAGTGGCCCAAAGTAGGCAATGAGTCATTCAGAGCCCCTGACTTCATCCTGCCATAACAGAGCCTTCAGGGCAGCCTGGAACAGATGAAGGGACTTTATAAGAGTAAGAAAAAGGGAGCTCCAGTTAGGATAGTGGAGGAGTCCAGTGTCATCTTTCTAAAGCACTGGAGTGCAGGCTGGAGGAGACTAAGTGGTCAGACATAGGAATCACACCCCAGATTATGTGAGTGTAGGAGAAGGTCCGTAGGAAAGGAGTAGTGTGGGGACAGCTGGGGATATAGACAGAGTGGAGGGTGAGGTCTGTGGTCCTCCCAAAGGATCAGAGATGCTCCTCTTAAAGATACAACTGACTTGATGTTACTGGACTTATCCGGGATGGTAGTACTCAGAGAGCTTTGGTCTGCACGTATCTCTTCTGGATCTAGGTCTTGCCCCTTGACTTCTATCCCTGCAGACTTCACCTGCAATTGTGGGAATAAATACATGGATCAAGAGAAGAGAAGCAAAGGAATCTTGAACCCTCAGCTCTTTCCCTTGATCCCTTACTAGTAAATCCACTTCCCTGCCTCTTGTCAACGCTCCAATGACCACTTCGCCTTTCTCATAATATCTCAGTATTATGTCTCACCTCATTTCCAGATTCATTCAGGCTGTCAACAGTAGGGGCCACTGCCTTAGTATCAAGGAAGTCAAACATCTGATAGGGTTTACTGTAACTCTGGTTCAAGGGCATCATCTAAGGTAATAGAAAAAAATAGAGTGAAATGAAACAACAGTGAATATTTGAGATCGAACTAAGTACTAGCTAATCTCTACCAAACTTACTCTCCAAACAGCATCAAGTGTAAGGTCTTACCTGCGTTATGTCCTCTTCATAAAAATCCAGGGATGGAGCCACGCACCTTCTAAGATTCAGTGACAAGTCAGTAGGATGGGTCAACAAGTCTTCAGGAATCAAGAATAGAGAATCAGAAGGCTAAGAGGGAGCCGGATGACACAAAGCTGATACAGAGGGGTTGCCAGCACCAACCTCTCCTTAATTCACAATTTCTAAATTTCCACACCAGCCAGTCCCTTCTTCCCTCATTTCCTCTAGACTTACTGCTGTCAATCCTGCTTTGCACAAATGGGAGTCTCTGCATATTGAGAAATTGCTGAGAAGTAGCACCCTGTTGGTTCATAGCCAGCTGCAGAATCACAGATGGAGTTCCGTGACTCTGAGGCAGAAGTGATACAGGGACAACAGATGGGGGAGAGGCACAGGTCCCGCTGTGGGTATATAAAATGTCTTAATCCTACATTACCTTCATTCGGTCCATCTTCTCTGATTGCAGCTCTGTCACCAAGTGGAATCCATCACAGGGGCTGATGAAGATTGTTATCTGCGAAGAACAAATGAGAGTCTGTGCTGACACTGAGAACTGAGAAGCCCCAGAATCTTACAAGATATTGACTCTGGCTTGCAACTGGTCACAGTCACACACTTGACACATACCTTATTATTAGACTCATCCCAAATCTTGTCACTGATATTTTTTAGTTCAAAGGCAATGTCGGGATTATCAACAAAAAACTGGGCGTGCATTTTCTCATAGTGAAACTGCATGGATAAGGGTGAGAGAAATAGAATATGGGCAAATGTCATGGTTCATAGAGCCCGTCATTTGTCCTGATTCCTCTTACCTCCACTGGGGTGAAAGGGATACTGCACTGGCTCTGAATCAAATTCAACAGCCAATTCTTATCATATTTTATGCCAGAGGGAATCTAGAATCAAACATAAAAAAGGAAAGGAAAAAAGATCGGCACATTAGAATTTATTTATTTATTTCATGCATGAAAGGTAATTACACAATACACTCTTTAATGAGCAAATATATTAATGTGGCAAAACTTAGTTATTGAAACAAATAAACTAGATTTAAACACTAATGCTTCTACCAGGTGTTTTAGTATAAAATAATTAATGTCTTAAAACTCTATGTTTCGAGTACTTACTTTCAGAACCCTTTTGAGATAATAAAGATGCTGTAACAAAATATCATCTAAATATACATTATTGACACCAATATGATACAGGCATATATATATATATATATACATTATATATATTATGTACAGTGGAAATAGTGTAAAAAGGATGAAAACAGACTGACCAGAATATAAATTATAAATTATCAAACTAATTCATGATAAACCTCTATAAACTTAAATATTTATCCTTGCTACCTTGCTACATTCTCTGGCCTATGGAAAGAACTGTCTGTAAAGAGAAAGAAAATAAAACCTCTTGTTTGCATCAAGTATTCGGTTTTTGCTCTAAACTTCTATATTTTTTGTTTTATTGTTCCTTATTTTACATTAATACAGGGTCTTGTGGCATTGCTCAAGCTGGTCTCAAACGAGCAATCCTCTGGCCTTAGTCTCCTGAGCAGCTGGGATTACATGTATGTGGCACATTGGAATTTAAAGTCAGAGTTAATCAGACAAAGGTGTTCAGCCCATAACATACTACATGAGCTTGTTTACATAAAAATCTAGAAAATACGGACAAATCTATTGTGGTAGAAAACTAAGGGGAAATAATGGAAGAGGACAATTATAAAGGAAAGCAAGGATGCTTGATGTGTTTGATGGGCATGTTGACTGGGAAAATGGTTTCACAAATGTGCAGCCAAGTAGTGTTAAGCTATATACTTTAAATGCATGTGATTTATTATTTGTTAATTTTACTTAAAGAAAGCTGTAAAATGGAAAGACTTTAAGGCAATTTCTAAAGATGGTACAAATTTTATTATTTTCTTTATATCACCTGTGGATTTTCTGAATTTACTTTCCTTTCATTCAGGTGGTTTCCTTCAATAATAAACTCCAGATACGTAAATAAACTTTTTAAATTTCAATAGCTAATTTACTTTTTGTTGTTTCTCTGATTTTTTTGAGATTATAATATGATTTCATTTATAAACCCATAATAAGAGATCTTACCTATGGCAGAACAAGCTTTCTTCTTTAATAAGGACCCCAAAGACACTTTGACAACTACCTCTTCAATACACACATACAATTTTAGCAAAACTGGGGCATCTAGTGTAGAACTATTATACCTTCTCACATGGGTTTCTTCATTTGCTTATACACAACTCCCTGACTTCTCCCTACAGTCACCCTGGTCTGTGTTCATTGCCTGTCTGATTTGTCCCTTAATTTATTCAGCATGTAGACTCCTGTGTCAACTCCAACTGTATCCAAAAAAGCACCCAATAACTCTACTCAATTCCAACACAACTCCTCTTGATTGCCTTCTTTTGAGTATTAGATCCATTTTCTGGGGTACTTACTATGACCTTGAACCAGTTCTTTGAGGTGTCATCTTGCTTGTCCCTCTCCATTTTTCCCTCTGGAGGTATTGGCCATTCCATTTGGTTTCGTTTATGCAAGTTGATTGTCTGATGATGGGGTGGAATACCATATGGAGTGCTGTCGGAAAACGAAGTAAAAGTAGTCCACATATACTTAGAAATTCTCCAATAGATCATTTGCCCCACTTGTACAAAGGCTACAGAAAGATTGCTCAACCACTTGGAGATATAAATGACATATTTAACTACAGTGTTATACATTTCACTACCCTGGTATATTCCAACCATAGTGACTGGTTACTTACTATCTTCTTCTAGTATATATGGGAGGCTCACTCATTGCTGGCTCTCCACCTTGCTGCTGAGAGAATGAAGTGCGCATTGTAGCACTGATGTGTTCAGTACAGTTGAGAAATGTCCTTCGGAAAATTCCCCGACATCTCATTCTTCTTTGATAAGGGTTGGTTTCGGAACTGTGTCCTTAAATTAAAATAAAGACATTAATGTATAATACCCCCCAAAAAAGGTACTGGGGAAATATAATGTCAAACGAAGGTTGTTAGCTGTTATAATATCCCACCCCCAGATATCTGTAATCAGTGTGAAAAATACTGAAAGCCTTCACTGTGCTTCCACCTCCTGGGAGATGAGAGGCAGGGAGCTAAGAAGAAAACAAACACAGCGGTCAAGGTCTGGGTTCAACAATTGGTCTGTGCTGTTACTAACCGTCCTGCCCTTCTCGGGCAGAGTGATCTGAGACAAATTATGTTTCATTCCTCAATCTTGACTCTCTCTTCTGTTTGAAGAATAATAAAAATTATCTTGGAAGATTTTTTTATGGTTCAAGGATCACAGGCAAACTCCCTGCCTGAAAGAAGAGCAACACAAATGATACATAAAGCAGAACAAAATATTCAGGTTGTGTCTTGCTCAAATATTATCATGAAGACGAGGAAAAGAGAAGGGAAGACATTAAAGAATATATGGCAAGCATAGCTAACACATTAGTTGAGAAGTTTCAACTAAAAGAGACTTCAAGTTCAAATAAAAACAGCAATAGAATAGAAGGACTGTGTACACTGAGAAATAAAGATATCTCATCAATTTCGAGAACTTGCTGTTCTTGTGGTGAATGGGAGTTCAGTTTCCAACACCCACATGGTGGCTCACAGCCATCTGTAACTCCAGTGCCAGAGAATCTGATGTGTTCCCCTGACCTCCTCAAGTACCAGGCACATATACAGTGCACAGACATAAATGCAAACAAAACACTCTTACATTAAGTAAAGAAACCTGAGGACTGGAGTTCAGTTCCCTAGACCCACATTGTGCATGAAGAGCACTATTTTCCTCAAGTTTCCTGTTGTTCTGAGGCCTCCAAACATGTACCCATGCAATACACTGAAAGCATGAATGAATGAATGAATGAATGAATGTTTTAAAAATCAGAAATAGCCCTTTGGGGTCTGGATGCACACACTTATAATACCAGCCCCTAGAAGGCAGAGAAAAGAAGACTGCCATAAGTTCAAGGCCAAGCTGGTCTTCAAACAGTCTTCTATGCAGTAAAGAAAAGTCAGTGACACTGAGAAATTTGTAGGCAGATCTGAGTATTTAGTATATAATACAATACTTCTTCTGGGATGCATATGTATATCTCAGATAACTACTATGAATAAAGGCTAGAAAAAGAAAAGGGAAAATAATAAAGAAGATGTGGTATTCCTACCTCACATATAGTGAAAGCACATGACAAATCGGGTGAGGGTAAATAAAGTCATAATGGTGCAAGGATCATGTATTGTCTGAGGACAGGTAAAAATAAGGGTATGCCGGCTAGTGGTGGTAACCCAACATATAATAATAAAAGATAAAAGAATAAAAGTAAATAAAGATAAATGTATAACAAATAGCATATCTGTACCAAATTAAACCTAGTATTTTATTAAAAGTAAGTAAAATATTCCAAATTGAAGGGCAGACAGAGTCTGAGTATGTAAAAAAAATTCCATCAGCCAGGTATGGTGGAACATGTCTGAAAGTCACCACTTGAAAGGTAGAGACAGGAGAATCAGGAATGCAAGCCCAGCTTTAGCTACTTAGGGAGTTCAAGGCCAGACTTACCTACATAATGAGACCCTGACTGAGAACAAATAAAAGGAAGGATTCTGCCAAACGTACTTTCAAACACATAAAGTTTAATTATATATAAAAGTTTTAAATAAAAAAGGCAAAACATTCTCACTTATATGTAGAAGCTTAAAAGGTGGAACTCCTAGAAGCAGAGGTTAGAAACTGTGGAAGGAGAGGTGACTAAAGAATAGTTCATGTGTACAAGGTGGGATACCCATTACAGTGGGAGGAATAAGTCCTGATATTCTTTTCTTAAGATTTGTGTATGTGCAGAATCAACTAACCTGGGCTCCTAGGGGCTCACAGAGACTGAACTGACAATCATGGAGTCTACACAAAACTGACAAATACAAAATTTGGGGAAATGAAAAAATTAAATAACAGATAAATCTATCAGACAATAGTTCATGTGCATAAGGAAGATTTAAACAATTTCAGAGACAAAGTAGGCAAAAATCAAAAGCAAAAAGATCACTTTAGCCCAAGAGTTCAAGGACAACCTGATATGTTATTTATGTACATAGGTTAAAAAATACGATTTTATATGTTATATATACATAAATAACAAATGTACTTACCTACATAATGAGACCCTGATATGATATCAGGACAACCTGATATGTTATTTATGTACATAGGTTAAAAAATACGATTTTATATGTTATATATACATAAATAACAAATGTACTTAATTGACATGGAACCCTACACACATGTAAGACATTTCAGAACTGTTCACACAACATAAAGCAAGTATCTAGAAACTTCTATAAGGATAATGCAATGTTCAGAATGACTGAAGTAGATTCAATCCACGGTTGCTTCTTTGTTCCTTTTTTAACACTAGCATGAATACGAAGAATATTAATTTCCACCAAACCCTTCTCTAAGTCATATTTTCTATTTCTCAAATTCTAGACTGGAGATGACCTAAAGCTCAGATCTTTCTTCTCAATGAGTTTGGGGGTGAGGGAGTGGTAAGCAGGGGGCTGCACTTCACCTCCACAGGAAGGAAGGCTTTTTACGAAGAAACATGACAATCACCCCGGTACTCATTTGATCCTTGTCTTTTGGAGAGTGGAAGCTAAACAACTTGTGGATCCCTGCCACCCCACCCCCACTCTGTTCCTAAAGAGGTCACCTAAGGGCCATAAGGAAAGAAGAAAGTGCAGTATCACCCCTGCCCTAAGAAAACCTGGGCAAACACCCCATGCTGTTCAACTCACCCATGGTAGGTCCTGAAGTACCTTGTCACAAATGTCCTTACTGTGTTCTTCTGAGTAGACTCTTTGTGGTCTAGAGCTGAAAAACTGAGGAAAGCTGCTGAGAGAGAAAAGCAGGCTCCAAACGTCAGCTACAAGATGGAAGTCCTTATAGGAAGTTTCATTCAGTAGGGCATAGAGAGGAGGTCCCTGGGGTTGGGCAGAGTAGACCAACTTCCTGTTCTGACTGCCCCCTAAAGGTTTGACCAATCAAACCCTCTGAGAGTGCTTCAACTTGAGCCACCGCTACTCCAGAGGCCAACTAGCCTGTGACGGCTTGGGCCTCTGGTACTTGTTGCCACAAATGCAGAGAACTTGGCATACCCAGCTCTGTACTGGTTACATTGTACTGTGTTCTTTAGTTTTTGAGAGCTCCGAGTGCCCCCTGTGAACCAGACACTGTACTTCTGTACTTGTAACATCAGATATGTTGATATGCTCTCCCCTCCCCCACTCCTCAAGAAATTATCTGATCTCAGAATCACCAGCCTCTGAAGTTGTGGAGGCTTAATGGGGTACAAGTTTTGTCTGGAGACATTCAACTCTTACCTTGGGAAACAGAGTAGAACTAAGGTCTACTGCATAGGGTGAGCTTTCCATGAGACACCTTTTGTTTAAGTTAGAACAAAGTAACAAAATGCTCTGAAAACCATCATGTAGTTGGAATTTACCTTCAGCTCACTCCAGAGGTAGAACACACACACTCAGAGAGAGGGGCAAGGGAAAAGGGGAGGAAGAGAGAAGCACAAAGAGAGGAGAGAGGGGAGGGAGATAAAGGAACAAGCGAAGTTTATTGGATCATTGTGATGCACTATCTCGACAAGACTGGAGTGACAGTCGTCAATGGGGGATAAGTGTCTCACCGATTAGACACAGAAATGTGGTTCCAAGCATGTCAAGCCTCTGTGCAAGAAGGGAAAAGGAAAGGGGATCCAGATTCAAGTGCATCCACAGAACTTTCTTGAAACTCTTCGCCTCAAACTTTTTGACAGCCCATCCCAGGTCTGTATGCTCTGAGAAATGAAGTCCAGCCACTGAACAAATACCCCGCCTTTGTCTCTCTGTCTGTGTGTGTGTGTGTGTGTGTGTGTATGTGTGTGCTTACAAATATATAAATAGAACCTTCTGAGGCTGCTGCTGCTGTATTCATGGTTTCAGGACTGATCACTTGGTGCATGACAAGCAATTAGTGGGCTCCTCCATGGAGAGGATGACTCTTCTCTTAACAGCCATCAGTCACCTACAGTTTCCTGTCCAGGGTGTGCGTCCATGAGATGTGCCCGCTTCTGCAATAGCATGCTTATTGAGAATGTCATTCTTCAGATCTTACTTACACAGCCATTTCTAAGAGTGCCAGTCTCATAGCAGACTTCCTTCTACCCAGGCTCTTACAATTAAACTGCCCAAAGTAACTCCATTTTGCCCTAGATTTGGCTAACTTCACCCAATTTTTCCTAGTCCCCTGTTGAGCACATCCACTGAGCACCTACAACTTTCTGAGGTCCGCTGTTGTGCAGCATAAAAGAAATTGTTTTAATCAGCTTAGTAGAAACTTTTAAAGCTTTTGAACCCCCCAATTGCCTCTAGTATGATACAATTGTGGCTTGAGGTTTTAAAAACTCTACCCTGTCTTTCTTTGGGCAGAGACTTCTTTGTAGCATGAGTCTGCTCTTGGTCACTGGCCTAAATAAAGAACTCATGGTCTTATATCAATAGAGGTTTGTAGCTTTCTTTCATGACCTGTAACAGACTTTCAGCCCTCTCTTCATCAGTGTTTCCTTGGTCATAAGTACAGAAGCTGTAATGTACATGTATCCACTGGGGCTGGGCTCACCATGATATGCTCATTTCAGCAACATTGTGTTCAGTTGTAATATTCTGTCATGGTCTCATTCTAAAATTTATATGGAACCAGAAAAAAACTGGATTGCCAAAGCAATCCTCAGCAAAAATTATATTGGTGGGGTTACCATTCCAGACTTCAAGAGATGGTACAGAATCATAGTGACAAAATTAATATGGTCCTGGCACAAAAACAGACATGTAGAGCAATGGAACAAATTAGAAGACCCAAGCTCATAATTACAGTCATCTGATGTTTGGCAGAGGCAATAAAACGTACACTTGGAGAAAAGACAGCATCTTCAACAAATGGTGCTGAAAATGCAGGTTGTCCACATACAAAAGAATGAAATTAGACTTACGTCGATCACCTTGTACAAAAGGTAGATATAAGTGGACCAAAGAACTTATCTTGAAATGTGAAACACTGAAATGCATACATAATGCTGCTAGAAAAAAAAAAGCATAGGCAGTGCCTACAAGGTATAGGTGTAGAAAAGGACTTTCTGAATGGTACTCCATTAGTCACAGAATTAGAGAAACAGTTGACAAGTGGGACTTCATAAAACTAAAAAGCTTCTGAACATCTATGGAAACAATCAATTAAGTGAAGAAAAAACCCATAGACTGGAAAAGAATCTTTGCCAGCTCTGCATCTTTCAGAGGATTAATATTCAAAATATGTACAGAACTCAAAGAGTCAAGAAAACAAAAGACCCAATTGAAAAACAGACTAGGGATTTAAACAAAGGGTTCACTAGCGAAAATATAAAAACATGGCTAATCAATATCTCAAATATGTTCACCATTCTTAGCATTTGGGGAAATGGATTTTTTTTAAAAAAAAAAAGTTGAGATTTCATTTTAACCTAGCCAGAATGGCTAAGAGCAACAAATCAATTGACAGAAAAATTGAGGTTGTGGGGAAAGGGCAATCTTCATTCACTGTTGGTGGGAATGCAAATTTGTGCAGCCACTCTAGAATCCAGTATGAGCAACACCCAAATTCATTTCTTCACAAGAGTTAAGAAAACCTAAAAGTACTTCAGCAGATGAATGGATAATTTTAAAAAAACTTACTCTACCTTTCTTTGAGCAGGGAGTTATTTGTGACAGGAGCCTGCTGTCAGTCACTGGCTTAAATAAAGGACTCATGCTTGGCGCGCACACACACACACACACACACACACACACACACACACTACATATACACAAGGAATACTGTTCAGCTATAAAGAAAAGTGAACTCACAAAACTTGCAGGTAAAAAGATTGACCTAGGAAAGATTATACTGAGTGAAGTGGCCCAGAAAACAAGCGCCTCATATCCCTTCTCATCTATGGCTCCTAGCTCTCTATCTTCAGATGTGAGTATATAGCATGGAATAACCCCAGAAATAAAGAAGCATAAAGGGTCCATTAGAGACCACGATAGGGAAATATCAGGATACAGATTATATGAAACAGGAAATAGAAAAATAGAAAGGGCTCTCCAACTTAGGTGTGAGTGGGAGGCCAGTACAGGAGAAGGAGGGAGGAGGGGCAAATAACACCAAGATTGTTTGATAAAACCTCAAGGAAACATTATTTTATGTTCCCCTAAATCATACACAATACATATAAGTGCATATTTACACACACACACACACACACACACACACACACACACACACACACTAAAGGAAGTTAAGCCACAAGGCTGACAAGTATCCCCACAATAACTATAGACTAACAAAAACTCCAGTACCAGATATAAGAAATCTCCTTTCAAATCATTCATCAGAGATGATGAATCCCAAAACAATACAGACTATGTCAACTGCCCTCATCTGCGTCTCAGAGGTTGAGGGTGGGTCCCAATTGCTGAACGTACCATACATTTATGAAACAGGACTCAGATTATTTGAACTGAATCTAACCTGAGAGCCTCCTTCCTGTGATCCAGCTTCAATGGTATCAGAAAATGCTATGCAAGCTGCCAAGGGAGAAAATCAGTTAATAGACTTATCAGGCATGGAATCTATAACCCATAACAATGACCAGAATGATAGGATACCCATAAAGGTCCAATAAGTGGCATTCATACTTGGTGGTAGCCAACAGGTGTCTAATTAAACTTAAGACCAACTCAAGAGGAGGAAAATCATGCCTGGTACTACACACCTAGTCAACTTCAACAGCTAGCCAGATCATATGTCTCAGAAGAGACTCTATTACCACCATTTTGCTAGACTAGCATAATTCTTAACTACATTCTAAATCTTATCCTTAGACCCACAGATAAGTGGAGCTATCATCCCCCATCAAAACACTCTATTTACATCAAATGTATAAAGTTTTTTGTCAATTTGTTATATTCAAGTATTTCCTTCAAAAGAAAAAATAAGAGAAAGAGTGAAATTATTCAACACCTTTAATATACAAAATCTGCACAACCTATAAAATAGTGTAAATAACATTTCCCAGTTGTTTACTTACTGTAGTATTCTAAATGGGTGCAAATTGCTATGTATAGTCTACTATAGTATGCTACAATGTATAGTCTAAATGAGGTAAGACTAAATGAACCCCAAAGGTTCATGTGGTAAAGCCTTATTGTTTTCCTTGATACAGGAAAATACAATTGGTATGTGGTACAACCTTTAGGAAATGGAACTTCGTGGGTGGTTCTTGCACACTTGGGAATAAACCCTCCAAGGGGTTTTAGGATACTAGGATCTTCTCTCGATTTGTTTCCTGACTGATGAGATGAACACATTGATTCAACATGGGCTTCCTTGCTGGGGACAATGCTCTTGTACCCTGTAAAGATTTGTCACTTGTATTGGTTTAATAAAACACTGATTGGCCAGTAGCCAGGCAGGAAGTATAGGCAGGGTGACCAGACTAGGAGAATTCTGGGAAGAGGAAAGGTAGAGAGTCAGTCACCAGCTAGACATAGAGAAAGCAAGAAGAGAATGCCTTACTGAGAAAAGGTACCAAGCCATGTGGCTAAGCATAGATAAGAATTATGGGTTAATTTAAATTGTAAGAACTAGTTAATATAAGCTTGAGCTAATAGACCAAACAGTTTATAATTAATATAAGCCTTTGTGTGTTCCTTTGGGACTGAACAGCTGCAGGACCAGACAGGACAGAAACTTCCATCTACACTTCCTGCCATTGCCATCCAGCACTTACACCAAAGGCCCAAAGCAATGAATCTTCTCCATCGTGGAGCTCACCTTCAAACTTCTGAGCCAAAATAACCCTTTACTCTTTATGTCTGTTGTGCAGATATTTCAATATGGTAACACAATACTTTGGTGCTTTCTGCTATAAATGATTCTTGGAGATTGAAATGAAAACTTTCTTCTTCACAGTGGACACAGTTTGATATTACAAAGTCTCTACAGGTAGAATGCAAGCTCGAAAGTTTCAAAC